GATGTAGACTCGTTTCGATTTGTAGACTCGTTTCAGCAAACTTAACTAATATTTTTTTTGTGAAATAACTTCGTTATTTCCTGCATCTTTTCATTTTCGCAATGAATCTGTTAAGAAGTTTACTAATGTTATATACCAGTTCGACTTGCAGTTCTACTGCTTTGCAATTAATGTATATACATTGCAGACTATTATGCTACTTCGCAATCTACTGTCCCATCAAATCAATGACTTAGTAAGACTATATTACTATAACAAAGTGAATCTTCTGTGTGTGCGTTCCTTTATTTGAATTGGTTTTCAGTCTTGCTAGACAACTTTTTATTCCGTGTCAAACACCTTTACTCAATATACAAATCATTTTTTTTTTACCACAAATTGTTAGATTTTCATTCTTACAAAGCAAACATATAGTCCATCTATATAAACTTGTATCGTTTGGACTATCCAACTATTCTGTCGTTTCAGACAGCTTCTACTTCCAATATTATTTTCACAATATTAATTACAATTTTGTAAGCTACTTTATTTGAACAATTCCTAGGCTTGCAAAGTCGGGAGTTCTTTTTTGTTTTACAAAAAAAAGTATAACTGTCAATTTAGCCTTTTTAACGTGATCGCGAAACTAGCGTGACTGCGAAAGAAATCCCGACTGGGCACATCTTCAGGTGACCTCTTGCGTTGGAGTGAAAACCGGAGCGGAATCACTCCGGTGGTTATGCTAATTAAAAGATGTTGACTAGCATTGACAACGAATCAAAGTGCAGTACACGTCATCTCTTATCTATGTTGATGTACGTGTCCTTTCACTTCTGAGGTCCCGGCTATTTTGAAAGACTACTTGTATACATTGGACATTTAAATCGAATAATCAATGACTTCATGAATAATTAATACCGGTCAAATGCCCGCAGATGCGTCCAGTTGGGATTTCTTTAGCGGTCAGGTTAGTTTTCGCGATCACGCTAAAAGGACTAAAATAACTTTCTTTTTGTAAAACAAAAAATAAGTCCAGACGTTGCCAGTCTAAACAATTCCGTGCATGTCAGACCAACTCGGTGAATTCGCATTATTGCTTTCTAAAATTTATAACAATTTTTCCAACTTCTGTTTCCGACTTTTTCGACTTCTTCTTGAAAACTACAAGCCTGGATGCTTTGATACTTGGTGTATATGTACCTTGGGTAGACCTCTCTTAGGTTTGTTCATTTCATGTTGATATCTTCAATTCTCTAATTTTGGTGAATATTTTTGTCATTTTTGGTAAAAAGTGATATTTTCGACTTCTTGTTAAAAACCGCAAGTTCGATTGCTTTGATATTACATATATAGGTACTACATGTGGACCTCTCAGATTTGTTCATTTTGTGATGATATCTTCAATTCTCTAATTTTGGTGAATATTTTTGTAATTTTTGGTAAAAAGTGATATTTTCGACGACTTGTTAAAAACCAATAGTTAAATTGCTTTGATATTACATATATAGGTACTACATGTGGACCTCTCTCAGATTTGTTCATTTTGTGATGATATCTTCAATTCTCTAATTTATTTTGGTGAATATTTTTGTAATTTTTGGTAAAAAGTGATATTTTCGACTGTAAGTCCGATTGCTTTGATACTATTCATATTGTTCATTTTCTAATGATGTCTTCAGTTTTTTTAATTGAAATGTGCATTGCTAACAGCGGAGCTATCTCAGCCGATAGGCTACATGTTGAAACTACCTTCCGAAAACTTTTCATCTCGAACAAAGTTTACCGAATTCCCAGACAACTTGTCCGCATTCTTACAACATTGCCATTTACTAAATATATATCGTGCCACAAAGTACTTTTATGACACTATAAACCAGTTTCTTGCATTGTAATGAGACCTTTCTGAATTGCATACTTTATTCATGCAATCAGAATGTGGAAATGGTCAACCTCGCAGACCTTGTTTCCCATTTTGTAGACATACTACTGCTTTTATTTTCCAGACTGATAGACTTTGCTGATATTAGAGATAAGTTTTCCTCCTTCCAAAGCAGTGTGCCCAACTTGAAAGATATATTTACTTTCTCCTTTAACGACTTTTCTAAGTGTAAATCTGAAATTATTTGTT